TTTGTGAAGTTAACCTGATATATTGTATATACCTCTAGTTGTAATTTGTAGTCTTTTTCAAATAACAAAATCCCTTGTACTTGAATTTGTATGTAAGGTGTTTCTTTCTGTATGTTTTTGTATTTCTTCTTTTCTTTTTTCTTATGTAATTTAATAACGCCTTTAGTTAAAGTCTTGTCCTGCCTAGATTAGCATTGTAGCTATTTGCAGGACATGAAGTTTTGTAAACCTTTTATTTCTTTAAATAAAGAGTGTATTGTATTGTTTAAGTGTGTATTGTATTGTTTAAAATTCTAGCATTTGTTACACCAGTTACATTTTCCTGACAACCCATGGAAAGGAGAACCTACGAAGCTATGTCTTCAACTCACTATCAAGCTTCCGTGACTTAAGACAAGGAGAGCGTCAGTCAGTTAATGGAAGATTAAAACCTCACGTTTTAACGAACGTCACTTAAGGTTACCTGGACAACCGAACAGCTCCACCCTCATTGCTATTCCCTCCTGCCAGTTAACTGGACGAAATCGGATGTAACGTCCCACGATAGGTGGGCTCAGGTCATGATAAACGATTGCCTTCTGGTCATAATTTCCAGCAAAGACCTTGATAAATGGAGAAAAAAACAAAACAAAACAAAACAAACAAACAAACAATTAAAAGAGGAATAAGTTTTTTTCATTTTCTTAAGGAGATAAAGTTGCAATAAGTAGATTGATAGTTAATTAGAATCGAATATTTCCTTATGCGGGTTAATTTTTTTTTTCATGTTTTCGACACATTTCACAACAGCAATTGACTGGGAACAATGTAAAAAAATAAATAAATAAAAAATAAAATCCAGGGTTTTTCTGGCACAATCTAAAGATTTATTTTTTAATGTTATGGACCTTTCTTATTGTCCCTTGTTCCATGTAATATTGCAGGTAACTTTTTTTATAGCCATATTGTAAATTGTAGCTTGTAACCCACTTAGGCGAAGCATTCATTCCTTGTGTGGCAACTCGTTTCACGATGATATTGTTATTTCGCAAATCGATCTGGAGCCACTGGTCGCCATCGTCTTTCAGAGGCAACCAAGTTCCCTTGCTTAATATTAGTCTGCCCTTGGTCGACGCATGATCTGTACTCAGTTCTGAAGAGGCACTAATTTGTCCGTCAGAAATGGCACCGTTTTCCATACCAAGGGGGTCTTGACATTCTTTATATTTCAAGAACATAAACAAAAAGTTATAATTGAGATAATATCCGCACCTATCTTCCTTACTGTTAGAAACTTAAAACGGGGGACAAAAAAAACAAAGTTAGAGGGAATTGCATCACTTTCGGCTGAGGATGTTAACGTCAGGGAGGAAAATGTAACTATTTGAGCAAGAATTTGAATATGTTGTAGGGCTAGGCAAGGACTCTTGTAATCGAAATGGAGATTTTTGGTTAGAGTCTTGTGAATTAAAGGAAAGCTTATAATTTAATGCCAACAACACCATGAGCGTAAAATGGAAAATGCTATAACCTTTTTAAGAGGCTCAGATACTCAAGAAGACAAAATGAAATAATAGTGCACGATATCTTTCACATATAGGATAAAAGATAAGCGAATTGCAAATCATTTCTTGAACGACCTAGGAATTCTTATCAGCAATTCAAAATTGAACTTCACCTAGACAGCCGTACAACTCTACTCGCATAGTTACCCCACCAATCCAACTTGTGGGTCGAAAACGGATGTATCTTGCCCTGATTGGTGGTGAAAGGTCATGATACACAACCGTGTCTTGGTCTGTATTGCCATAAAAAATCTAGAGAGAGTTGGAAATCAATTCTTATGAGCGAAGAGGTTATTTCCACGTGCGTTTTTTTTTTTTTTTTTAACATCAGCCATAATCAGAGTATTTACGCTATTCCTTCGATAAGTTTTCTTGAAGTTTTTCTTATCAGTTCTCAAACTGCTTTCCACCATCCCCAGAAAATGGTATGTACTAATAAAATTTCATCCCAACATACCGCCCTTAAACCTTCGTGTGGATCAGTTTGCATTTGCTTGTCAAACTGACTTAAGATAACTTCTGCAAGACAAAAATAAGTCCTTTGCCATATCCTTCAAACTAAATCATCCCCAATTGGTTTATGACGCCCAAATACTTTTTAATGGAAGTCGCGGCCACTTCAACTCCTTATTTCTGCCTTATTTTAATATTAGATAGGCTAGACTATAACTAAAATCACTGGATACTTTTTTTGGCAAAATATCTTTTTATTTCAGAGAAAAATACAAGTAACGAAATTCCGTTAAAATCGTCATCTTTAGCAGCAAATTATAGCACGAGTTTGAGGGTTTCGCGTGCAAAAACGAATCGCTATCTCGTCTTTTAAACACTCAAATCTTCTTTTTCGATCTCATAAGACCTCAAAAAATGATTTTTGGAAACATTGCGCTCTTCTTTGCGCTTAAAATAATTTAATTTCGAAAGCAAACATTTCTCTTCATTAAAAATACTTCGTGAATAAAATTAATTTTCACCAAGTGCTAAACCTTCAAATGGATTAAGCTTTTGGTGGTTGAATTTCGAAAAGATTTTCTCAATATAACTGTAAAAATTTGTTTGGGCAAATGATTGAGAGCGATACAAAAGCTTTTCAAAGTCCGTTAAAATGCAGTTATTTGACCTTTTGCAGTCAACATTCCAGTCGCGAGTCACACATATTTTTATAGGTTTCAACCCATATGAGGCCGAAAAATGTACATAGAAAGATATTTCCAAATGCTCTAACCTCATTTGCCGCAGAAGACCGATCCAGAGACCATTTTAGTGTGATTCTCTTGTCGTTCGTCGTATTTAGGTCTGTATAAATGATAACGTCCGATGAAACCACCAACCCTGTCAAACACTATCTTGTTGTCAAACGTTCGATATCTTTCTTCACTGTGGCATCGATCTTATTCAACGGTTCAGTTGACTACGAGTATTGCTCAGTTTACAATGCACTAAAACATTACATCTGACAGTCTAATTCAGCGCTAAACTGAGTTGACTACAATCATGTAGGCCCTTTGAGTATTTGGGTTGTCACGCAATACCGGTGACAAAGGAACTTTAGGGGGTACGTGAAGGGCAAAAATCCATATAATTAAGCACTATCAGAATTGAATTCTTGGAACCTACAAAATATTTTATTCTGTAAACGTTTTTGTAATAGTGTCATCTTTGTCTGGTGACAAACAGTAAAATACATTTATTTATTGCAGGGAATTATTCTTGTTTTTTTTACGCTCTGTGCCTGTCGTACTTAATAGGGGTGTTTTTCTTTCCACTAAAATTGCAAGAAATACCCTAATAGCATGAAAGAGAACCTTTCGTACATTTTACAACACCATGCTACAAAACGCAGTGGTGGGGATGTGTGGGGTGCTATGTGCTGTGGCCAATGGGTGGGGCTTGCATAAGGGAGTGGTATTATTAACCACTGTTAACATTAACAGACCCAACTACAGTTTAAAACATTAAACTACAAAGGGGCCGACATATGTGCGTTCGGCACAAAATAAGGTCGATCTCGTCTTCAGGACAGGTAAATTTGAAAGCCGACTCATGACTTGCAATATTCTTGGTGCATGAAAGTAAAGGAACAATTTTCGTCTCTAGTGTTGTAACCACAAACTCCGCCAATAAGCGACTTGACAATGACACTGACCGTGCCAGTTAGTGTATTTGTGAAAAACGCATTCCAAAGCCCTACCTCTAAGCAAACAATAGGCATCGTGTAATTACCATAAACCAGGTTTTGTTTTCTTAGGCTTACTATTTTTAGCAGGTATTAAATTTTGCTTTTCAACGAGTATTAGTCAAAGGCCCGATCTCCGCGACTTACATGTGAGAGATTTCGATGTTCACAACAATAAAAAAGCTTAGCAGCAGAGTGACGTCTTTTTACTTTCCCCCTCCCCCACCCCCTAAAAAATAACTTTCCATTGTATGATTTGCATTGCGTGTCGACTCTCCGTATACAAAACTACTTTGACTGCAACATATGTGTGGTGCCACTTTTAAAAGCATCGATCAGATCTACTGCGCCACAAACCGAACAACACTCACAGTCAACTGAACCGCTGGATAAGATGCCACAGTGCAGAAAGATGTCAAACGTTTTATAGCGAAGATTGGTGACAGTTCGCAGATTGACAGGCAGTTTCATCGGACGTTAAAAATACGACGAGCGACAAGATAACCACAGTAAAATGGTCTTTGGATCTTTCTTCAACGGTAAATGAGGTTTGAGCATTTGGAAATGTGTACCCATGTACATTTTCCAGCCTCATATGGCTTGAATCATATTAAAGTATGTGTGTGACTCGCGACTGGAATGTTGACCGCAAAAGTTCAAATAACTGCATTTTAACGGACTTTGAAATCATTTGCCCAAAGAAATTTTTACAGTAATATTGAGAACATCTTTTGGTAATTCTACCGCCCAAAGCTTAATCCATTTGAAGGTTTAGCACATGCTGAAAATTAACTTTACTCTCAAAGTACTTGTACTGTAGAGAAATGTATGCTTTCGAAATTAAATTATTTTACACGCAAAGAGGAACGCAGTGTTTACAAAAATAGTTATGTGAGGTCTTATGAGGTTGAAAAAAAAGATTTGAGTGTTAAAAAGATGAGATTGTGATTCGTTTTTGAATGCGAAGCCCTCAAACTTGTGCAATAATTTGCTGCTAAAAATGACGATTTTAACGGAATTTCGTTATTTGTATTTTTCTCTGAAATAAAAAGATATTTTGCCAAAAAAAAGCATCCAGTGATTTTAGTTATAGTCTAGCCTATCTAATATTAAAATAAGAAAGAAATCGAATTTTTCACCCTTGCCGCGAAATTTAGAATTTGTCTGATTTTTACAGACAAGCGCTCTGAATCTCCTAAAGCAACAGGCTTTGGGGAATGAACGATGGTATTTTAAGGGCTCATTCCTTAAAGAAATGCAGTGTTTTACCCTGATCTATGTTGAATTTTGAATTCTAGAAATTGGTCGCTTAGCGAAGTGGTTTTCCTCCCACAAGGTATTTCTTAACAATATCCCCAGTTTGTATGAATTTTATGGAAAACGAAAGAAAAAGTTATTTTGGACAATTATCTAACCTTGGCCTCGTTATGTCCATGCTCTTTATAAAAGTAGAAATTTAGTCCGTCGTTGCTGTAAGTCAGACGGTACTTGGTTACTCTATCCGGCGAATTAAGGATGTTTCGTCCTTGTGTTGCAACCCTTGTTATTTTAATGTATCGATTATTCAGATCAATCTGCAGCCACTGGTTTTCATCATTTGTGCGAGCCACCCAGCCCCCTGCGTTGTGCTGTGTTTCTTTTACATGAAGTCTACCATAATGAGCTTTTTCTTTGTGACTCCATTCGGAAGAGGCGCTCATTTGACTGTCGGAGATGGCGCCGCTTTCCACCCCTCGAGCCTCTGCACACTCTAAATAGTATAAACAACTCTCATGGCTGTTTTTCAATTGCCAATTGACGCCAACTTAGCACATGCAGTGAAATGGGTTCGGGCAGTCAAGACAAGTCTTTCTTTTTTTGTTCATTGCATCATACCGAATTGTTAGCGAATTAGTAAAAACTGCTCTCTTATATAAATTGCTGTGTTTTATAAGGAATTATAAGAGAGAGCTACAAACGCACGGAACTGCGTTGACACGTCACATGCCTTTGGCACCTCTCTATCAAGTTGATGAGAGAATTGCAAAGCGTTCAGGTCAACGTTTCTTAGGAGCTGTGTTGTTTGTATAGGTAATCACATGATTTCGAGTGCAATTTGGAATAAGTAAGCACGACTTAATCTTTTCAAAGACCAACAAAATTACACGAACCCGTTGGGCGAGTGCAATTTGTAGTCTTTGAAAAAATTAACAAGTGCTCCTTTATTCCAAATAGCACGAGAAAAATCATGTGATATACGTATCAATGATATACATGAAAAAATACGAGATAGCTTATCATAATTATGCAGAAGCAAAGCGCGCGCATCAAGTGCAAAAATAATTTATTCAAACCTGCAAGTGACATTGTGTGTTCAGTCAAAATAACCGCGCACCATCAGAACAATAATATACAATGATATTTTCACATGTTTAAGGCGCAAAAAGGGGCGCAAAAAAGTTCAAAGTCCGGCTTTAAGTTCAAGAAATTGTTTAGTATGTCTCCGAATCACTTTCGATGAAATGGAATCGTTGTTTGCGAGGTTTAACCATGTTTGTTTTTAATTTCGGCGTAGAATCGCTCGAGTAAAGTGTTAAGCTGGGTCGGCTCGTAATTTTCGATCTCCTTGGCAATTCCCTTCTCTAAAAACCATTTTTTGCAAGCCCACAACCAAAAAGCAGTGATTTTTACAGTGTTTTCGTTGTAACAGCTGCTTTTCAGCCGCACTATAGTTGTTATGGTGGCAAAAGAAAACCAATTTAAAACGCCGGCCATTGTTTGGCTCGCAAATTTTTTGCGTATCCAAATGTTGCGACATCCAAGGCTCACATTTGATTGGCTATCTTTCTTTGCACTGAATTAACCCTCTTCTGCATTGAATTACTTGAAAACTGCATTTATCTTAACCAATCAGAACTGAGTACTTTTTTCATGTATATTATTGATACAATAATAACAACAATAATAATAACAATATCGATGATAACAATAATAATAATAGTAATAATAATAATAATAATTATGATTATTTTTAAAACGTGGTTGTTCGTAGATATGGAATTTTTCTCTTTGAATATTCCAAGAGAAAATCCAGATCTATGCTTGTGTATGTACTATTCACTATGTTAACAACAAAAGTAGTGAATGCCGCAAAATCTTTGGTATAAATATGAGGTACATAAAAGGCAGAAGAGCCTAAAAATTAAGCGATACAATAGTTATGAAAACCTGAGATCTCAGATGAGGTTTGGAATTTATTTGCGTCCAAATGCACATGGTAATTTTAGTGCATGTCAAGAATAACACCAACCTCAAAAATGTAAAAGTCCCCAAAAGGCTACAATTTATTTCTTTTAGCAACTACCTCAAAATTCATTGCAAAAGTTAACGTCAAAAACCCAATTTAATTAAATTTAATTTAATTGAAGCAAACTCACTGATGGTTCCGTAAACCTCGACTCTAAGGCAGATAGATCGTTGCCAAGTAACTGGGAGAAAACGAATGTATCTTGCATAAACCGGAACTTCCAGTGCATGTTGGTCAATTGTGTTGGATCTACCTTGTCTGTGAAATATCTATAACGTAATAAGAAAATATAACGCAGTCACAAGTTTTTCAAATAAATTTTTTCAAAAAGAGGATTCAATAACGATAAATATTAAATTGTAATCAACTAAAAGGAACCATTATGGAGTGGGTTATTTCTAATGTTGTCGCAGAAACTGAGATGAAGAATATAGATTGACGAACGCGCCCTTTCGACCTGCCAACAAGCGATACCGTTTGATTATGTTATGTTGGCGATAAGTTACCAGAAATGGTCTCGTCAACAATTTCAAATCTGAACATCATCGATAAACTTGCGAATCACACTGTCTACTAGGACTCTATGAGATGATCAACCACAAGCAAAAATAAATTTAAGCTGGTTCCTAACTAAGAAAGGAAATGTCAGTCAGTACTACCTTCAACAGTCCTTCTCAGTACTACTCTCACCCGGACGATCAGACTGCACAATAGACTCTTATTCCTGGCTCAAACCGTTTACTACTGAATCTAACTGTAGAAAGATGAAATATTAGATGCATCAAGACATTTTGGCCAAAATCTTACCGCTTCCGAGCCGTTAGCTTCCTTATAAGTTGGGAAGCCGTCCTCATAGGATTTAGAGTGCGCTAATTTAAAGTCTATCACCCAGTTATTGCCACTGATGTCTCCTTGGGTTGCAACAGCACACACTTCAATAACTTTCCCGAGATCGACTTGAAGCCACTGATCTTTATCATTTATTTCGGCGCACCATCCATCTCCTCTGTTACCGTTCAGGCGTCCATATGATGGTAGGACGTTGTAACCGTGGCTTTTGTCATGACCTTTTGCCCTCATGAAGCTGTCAAGGATAATACTTGGATTGGAAACTCCAACGGCATTACTGTAGCAGTTATCATGGGTTTCTGCATTCAACAAATTTGAATATTCAATTCATCAGAGCTTTAACCTGCCTCATTTCCACCTATTGTTCACTAAAATCAACAGGATCGTTCTTTCTTACAATAGAAAAAATTTGGAATTTTATGTTACCTATAGGTGGGACGTAGGACGCGCGGAAAGGCACAGGAGCGGATGCCATGGCATAGAATTCACCAGGAAACAAAAATAAGGCTGCGAGATCAAACACTGTAAAATGTTTGCCGCACCGATATTTTTTATTAATCTTGATAATTCATTTACCTTAAGTTAGAAAATACTTAAAGAATTCTTCGCCTCGTTCAAACCGTGCTGCTTTGGACTTAAAACATACATCTCGCGTACGTTGGAATGCAATATTTTCAACTTCTCTTAAATAACAATTTATCGTGCTCCACAAGGATTTCTGTTGATTACTATGAATTTAAGTGTAAAAGCCCTTTCCTCCATGTTAACAGATTGCAATAGTAAACTTTTTTAAGCAGCTTCTTGGTAATGCTTTATAAGCGTGGAAGACCTGCAGGCAGTTCTTCGACTAGTGTCTACTAAAAACAAAATTGTAACTGCAAATTCTTACGATATCATTTCGTTGTAACATAAATCATCCCCCCCCAAAAAAAAAAAAAGATACCGAGCAAGAAAAATACGTTTACGAAGGGTTTAGGAACAAAAGTAACCCACTTCGTGCAACGTCCATTAAATATCCTAATCCTGAAAAAAAAACTGTTTCTTATGTTAGAGTATCTTTTAGTACAAAATTACACAAGAAATAACATACCTCTACTCCTTAAACCTCTACTCGTTACCACAATCAAGATGTGAACCTATAGAGAGAGGGATTTTTCGTTCCGTAAGTTACAAAATATGTTAATCTCTCAGTGTAACAGTCTAAAAAGGAAAACATTCAAAATTCAGCCTGCTCACCTTTAATAAAAGTAAGTGCTTTTGGGGATTCATCTTGTCTCTTCTTTACTCTAAACCGAGCAAAAGCATGTTACGTAATTATAGTTTCAGTACATAATCCTCCTAATTATAATTTTTTGGCTAACCTGAAAAATTTCCCCGCCGAGATTACAGTGAAGGAAAAACAACATATCAATATATTAATCAAGTTTTCGCAATGGCCATGGAAGTGCATATTCGAGAAATATTAATCAAGTGAGTGAAGAAGGGAAATTTGTGGTAATATAGAAAAATAAAAGCACGAATAATTTTTTTAAATTGAATGTAACAGGAAATCAATATTTTACTTTTGTCCCACTCGTTGTTATGAAACAGAATAATTCCTCAATACATCTCTTTCTTTACCTCCTCATGCAGATTTTATTTTTTTAATTAGTTAAAGTAGCCTTTTTCAGGCCAATGGTCATGTAAAACAAGTGAAATAGCAGTTGAGCGACGCCTAGCTACTTCCTTGACAAGCCAAGTTAACCTTGGCACACCTACTTTTTGATTGTCTTGGCTGACTGAGGGTCTGGTACAGGATGTTGATGAATACGATCGCACATACTAGCGTGCTTAGGTATGTATCGATTCCACAAGCTTTTCGTAATTTATTCTTTTGATGGATTTCTTGTTTTGGAACTGTTAGCTTGACTACTGATTTTATCCACAGTGTGCGTATTGTACTCATTTTGTGCGTTTGTAAATATGTACGAGGACCCCCAACTGTATAGTATTATTTTGCTAAACTACCTAGACAATGACTACATGGTTAATGCAAAGGTCATTAAATTATGAATAGATAGGCTTTCCTAGACACAGTTGTTTTGGATATTCCAACAATGATAAAGGCGGGGGTTCATTAAGACAGTTTTGAATCAATACAGTCTCCTGCAAGCAATTCGTTCCCTGGGAACAAAACGACCTCAGAGAAATCTCTCTTTTTTAATTTTAATGTGCATTTGTCAAAACGGGATATCCTTCAAAATAAGAATCTTTTATTTTGATCTTAAAAATAACTGTGTATGAGTGAGTCTAAATTCCCTTAGCATTTGATTGACTCTAAGATACTGTCATGTTCTAGATTTTAACAGGAGACTCAATGAGAACATGCAAAAAAAAGCCAATCCGCACTCTTTTTTTACCCAATCCTTCGAGTCAACGTCACTGAAAAACCCAAACTGCGTTACTTTCTGAAACCTCTTGTAATAAAACGTACTAGTATACGCACTCGCCAACCTCGTAGAAAACAAAGCATAAGATAGGCTTACATGAAAAAAAGACACAAAGAAAGTGTGGGAACTATAATTTTTTTTTTTACATGTATTGGTTACGACGTACATGTAACTGTGTAAATATAAGTGAAATATTTTTGATATAAATTTTTTACTTAGTGAATTTGGTCGTTTACAGAACATTACGTCTGACTTTCAATCTTTCAACGAAGAGTCTGACTGATCCTCTGGATATCGCTGTTTGCATGAATATATTGTAACTATAAAAATGTATTACGTAATTCTCTCATACACGAGAACATATTGGGTTTCTAATTTTCAAGAGCAAAATAAGCCCACAGAGGCTGCTTTTGTTTGAATAACAAATTTTATGCAATCTCAATATACCGTGCTCAATGGAAGCCCTTTTAATCCAGGAAAGTCACAGATATTATGTAACTTTTATTCTGTAACGATATAACCGTGCTACTGGACAATTCCACGTGATCCTTAGCTCTAAAACGTCACTGATTAATGATGGGGAAAACGGCACTGAGGACCTATTGAGTACCTATTAGAGGAATAATTTGAAATTTGAAGCCATAGTAACAAAGTGTATGTTCGCTTTAAATTAACTTAGGATATAAATTTACATTTTTATCTTGCTAGGGTGATACCTCATAGTCTCCTTAATACCCTTAACGACTAGATCGATCACAGACGTTACCGTTTGAATTAAGCAT